TTTGACTGTTGTATTATGGGAAATGTATTCTCTGGTTGCTATGCTTTTCTAATTCATTTGTATTTTCCTTCAGTGACTCCCTTGTATTTTCTTTGGTGCTCTTGTATAACGGTTTCAAGGAACCACAGATATCTCCAAGTTAAGCACGCATACAATAGCTTTAATTAAATGTTTGTGGGTATCCCACAGTAAAGCAAGGGAAAGGGAAAGCAAACAGTTCTGTACTTACTTGTACCTATCTCTTCTGAGCCCTGGCTTGGGTGGAGACATCATCACCATTGCCATTTAAGCCTATTTCTAAGCTATTGTAAAATTAAGGGCATCAGGTCCTGCTGCTCTGCATGCAAGCACTTCAGACATTTTACTAATAAAAAAGCTACAGGTCATCTGTGAAAGGTACAATACTAAGATGTTTTAGACTAGGCTAGAGGAAATAAAAAATAAACTAAGGGAGACTCTTCTTTGCTCCACTTACAAAAATTGAAGACTAAGATTAAAAATATCCTTAACCATTCCTTAAAATACACTAAGATGCTATCTTAGTAGATAGCATGAAAGCATCAGTTTTGGTCTTTTATATTCTGATATTAATATTTTCTGTTCTCTGTGCCATTAGCACAATCTCACTCTTGATGCCACCGTCCAGAATCAAATTATTATTATTGTTATTATTTTATATCAGAATCTTCGCTTCTTTTACAGGCAGTTAACTATATTTTTCTTATGTACAGAATAAAGTTGTGAAGAAATTTGTTTCCATTTCAGGCATTTAAAGTAAATATACATGAGGCAAATGAAATTTGGAAGGGGAACATTCATCACACAAAGATGGAGGAATAAGAGAACTAAGAGGTTATTGGTTGCAAGAGGTTATTGGATACAAAGGTTATTGGTTAGCTCTTGGAGTCAAATACAAAACAATTTTACAGCATATAAAGTGTTTAGAGGAAGAATCTTTATTTCTCTTATATGATATGGAATAGTTAGCAGTATCTGCAAAGATAACTAAGAGGCCTAACACTAGTACTAGTGTAAAGAACTTGTCTTGAGTTTTTCAATGACTGATGTCACTACTAGTTCAGAGTAGACACAAAGTAATTTAAAACCACTTTAGCAGAGCTGTACATATTTTATTGCAAATCCATCCATTACTTTTTAGTGGCTCCCAGAAACAACACATATCAGAAAATTCAAGAATAATTGCAAGGCTAGAAAGAAAAAAATAAAAGCCAGTTTGATGGAGAATAAAGAACCCGTGCTCCTAACACTGATTTTGGTTATTTCCCCACACTGAGCCCACAGGAATTTCTAGTTTTTGCAGTCTGACATGCTGGATTTGGGCAGAAGTTGAGCAGAACAGGGGCTGAATTAGGTTTTCTGGAGCTAAAGCAGCAGTGACTTTTTAGGAGGGAACAGAAAGCATGGGTTGTTTCCCTCACGTAGCAAGGCACAAACAACAACAGGGTTATCTGAGAAAATTGAGAACTGCTGACATTAGAAACAGGAACTGGCATCTGCAAAGTTGAGTAGGAGTGGAATGAAAGCAGTCTTACAAAGCAAAGGAGGAAATGAGAAGGCCAGGGAAGACCTAAAATGGTGAGCAGCTAACAAATGCTGACAAATACTTCTTTCCTCAAGAGCATGATCCTGAGTACATTCAGGCCAACTTGAAGATTCCTACCAGAATTTTTGAGATACTATTAGTGAAGATTCCTACTCTTTGCCCCTCTTTTAAGCTGTAGTCTGTTTCCATTGCATCTTCAGAAAAGGCCTATAGGGATGTTGGCGCAGTAATCTTGGGCAATTGTAAATACATTTAGTCTTCTCTGGTTCTTCAGGTTCCATTTCCCTTTAGAAAGTTGTATCTATGTTAATTCCCCAAATACGTTAAGAACCTGAAGATCAAAGTTCAGTGCAATCTCTCTACTCTGTGACCTAAGCAGTGCTGTTTACTAACAAATGCTCCCCCAAATTATTTGTGATAAGATGAGGGAATTGAAAGAGAAGAAAATAGTGATTGGTGCTTTCTTTACAACTTCTTTTTATTAGTTTGTTCTAAAAGTAGTTTGGTTCCCCCATCACACAAAAAAATTCCTATTCTTGACATTAAAGCGGTTGCAAATGATTTAGCAGAGCTTTCTGTACACTGTGAATGCAGTGCTCACACTACCTGTCACCCCATCAACACTCCAAACAGACTGGGAAAGAAGAAGAAAGGTTGCAAAATGAGTATAAATACTCTGCATGGAGCCAGTAAGACAGCAAAGTCACAATGGTGGAAAGGAGAATGTCAAAAGTTAATCCTACTTGTAATACCTCAGAAGTCAGATGCATGCTGTGAGAGGTGTTTTTCAGTTAATATTTATGTTTTGTTTTCACTCTGTGAACTTTAAGGCAGACCTTAACCAGTGAAAACTGAATTCTCTGTAGATGCTTTGCACTACCTGTTGTTGTGTTTCCAAGTTTCTTATTGAATAGCACGTTTTTTCCCTAGTTTTCAGTTGCTTGCTGGAGTCTTAAGACATTTTAAACCTAACAGTAAAACACCTGCATTTTATTAAGACTTGAGACTTAAGTTCCACGTCCCTCAATTTTACTGAAAGGCTGCCATTAATCGGGTTAACCCTTTCATAGCCAGTTTTGAAGTTACATGTCTCCTACATATAGCCAAATTCCACGCTTCTATACTGTATTTGGAGGAAAAGAAAAACAGCCCTGAGACACACCCAGAGAGCTCCATCCTGTGCTGACTGGCAAAGGGTGCTGCAGAACCACAGCTGCAGAGGCTATCCTCTCCATAAAAGCACAACAGCCCTGGAATGACATGTCTGCTGGTAAAACTTAAAACTAAAATGTTCTTACCAGCCATTTTTCTTTCAAGAGATTTTTGAGTTGTGTCATAGAAACTTTATTCAACTAAATGGGAAAACTTATTATTCTCTGTGTCCCTTCCCTTTTCTCATTCCAATGTCTTAAATGAGAAACAGAACAGCACTATTACAGTGATTTTTGTGCCTGTATGTCCAATAATGTTATTATTCCTGTATTGAATTAGAAAAATGGCAGCATGTGAAGTAATTGCCCAAATTAATGCAGCAGTTTAGCAAAAGGGCTGATAAATTCAACTGTCAATGTACTAAGCAGCTGTGTTGTTACCCAATCAATTTAACTTCCTGATAAGCAGTTATTTCTAAGTCCACACACATCACAGAAGCATTGCACTGCAAAAAGCAACAACTGCTGGCTATTTTACTAAACATGATCAGTTCACTGAAGACAGGAGAGAGAGTAACTTAATGCAACTAGACAGGGACTGAGGATTTGTACATCATGAGTTCTCATTCCACTTCTGTTGCTATTTACGTATTTATGGGCATGTAACTTTAGTTCTTTATGACTCAGCTTCCCATCTATGCAAGAGAGAGAGTAATTCTTCACAGCCAGGTGAATCAAGAGGTCATAGACTTCTGAGATGATTCTGAGTCAGTCATTCATCTTAGGACTTTAGTGGCACACCTATACAGGGCTAATTGGAATACTATGCATCAGACCTGCATGGCGATCATAGATTCAAACGTTTGGAGATACTAAAATACCATGGCTATAGAGCCATACAAATTCTTAGGATAACCAGGTAAGTAAAGAGAAAAGTATTAGTTGCTACCCTATATATTTACCAGTATAATTCACTTAATTGGTGGTTATTATTTACACTGTCTGATGTATTAGATACTGTTCTGATTGATACCAATACATCTCTGCAATACTGATATAGGAAATATTATCACATACCCTGGCAGTCATAGAGAGAAAAGTACTGACCTTGTAAACAAATAATTTCCATTCATTCATACATACCAGTATATGATTTCAAATCTGTGTAGGAATCATTAATCATTGGCAATGGCCTTTATCTTCATGGCAGAGATAGTTTTAGGACATAAGCCTATTGCTATTGAATATAATATCATATGATGTGGGATCGAGTAGACTGGCACATGCAGCAGTGAAAATCATGTAGTATGAGAATGGCAAACAGCCCCTATAGCCTCATGCTAGCTCTGACCACAGACCAGGAGTGTACACTTGTGTTCATATTGAGGAGCACACCTTGCCTTACCTGCTATTAGGGAACACAAAGGCTGAACATAATTTATAAAGATAATCTAGCATGGAATTGTTCACATTTGAGTTATGACTCATAAGACTTTTACTTTTCCATTCAGTGTAAGCATGCATAAATAATCATTTTCAATTGCTTCTAAATGTAGAGCTAAACAGCCTTTCAAAGTCTCTCTTAAACCAAATTGGTGTAAATCTCACATTTGTTTGAGTTTACACCCTTTAACTAGCATTAGGAAGCTGCGATTTATATTGCTGTGTAAATCACATCTGCTCATAAGCTGTGGTTTGAAAACATTGCACATCTGGAGTATCAAATGTGTACAAATTAGAGAATTATATGACATTACCAGTCACTTGCATGCAAATGTAAGCAATGTAAGCTTCATTTTTTGTGTAGTATTTAAAGTCATGCTATTATGTAGTGTAAACTACAATCATCTACTCTCTACTTAGACAGCAATCTAAACAGAGATTTGCAATCCCTTTGCAATCATTTTTACAGAGCCATATACTCAGGTACCCTGTCAGGAATGTAAGTTACAAACTGTTATGTACCCTGAAGCATGCTTATGGCCCTTCTTTATAGGTGGCCTGGTCACCATACTCATTCCTTTTGAGTAAATTAAGGGCAGGGTTTCATATTTTGTAGTTGTGTTTGTTGATAAAGGAATCAGCAATGTGGGAAAACAGAGGTTTTCCAGCTTTACTTCCGTCGTGTATCAGTGACTTCTTTTAGAAGCCAGTACCAGATTGACCACAGCCAGCAGTTTCTAATCCAGGATGTAGAGGCAGGGGTGGGGAGCTGGTATAATCAATCTCTTTCAACACTGTGAAAGGGGCTGTCCCCTGCGCTGTATTTTTCTTCCTCCGAGTGTCTCAAAAGGCAGCGTCAGCAAGACTTTCCTCCTTCTATTTCATAGAATTGCTCCTATTTTCACCTCTTTTTATGTAAGTACTTTTAAAATCTAGTAATAGCAATGTTCTGCTTTAAATTACAAGTTGATTTCTTTTCAGTCTTGACTACATTTTTCTTTAGACAAATACTTGTACAGAACTTTCATCAGAGGACCTAACATTACTTTTAAGCACCAATAATGAAGCCCAACAAAACAATTATGCAAAAGCTGTTATCATCTCTATGTTTCATAATAAATTATAGATAAATGACTACATGACTCAAGGTCGTACCGTGAATCAATTATAGCAGTTGGAAATGTAGCCCAGGAACTTTGACACCCACACTTCTGCTAAAACTATGCCCTGAAAACACCAGGAGTGTCTCACAGCCATTTTGACCTACCAACATTTCTCTCGTACCACTGAAGCCTTTTTTAGGCTACGAAAATTAAAGAAAAGGAAAAAGAATGTAAATCAGTGTCTGACAGTACATTGTTTCCCCCTCTGAAATGAAGACTTTTTCTTGGTTTATTTTTTTCTTGCAGTAGATATTGGAAGGCTGAAAGTTGAAATAAAATAGGAAAAAATAACAAGCATATTTTGAGTGATTACTCAACTGGGGTCCTTTGTGACAGGAAATGCAGCTGCGTGACTAATGGGCCTGACTTTCTCTTGGCTTCCTTCCCCCTTCAAAGATCTTGTTTATTGCCCTAGCCAATTTTTTTTTTTTAAAATTGCTAGAAGCTAGAATTTTCCAGGAAAAAAAAAAAAAAAATCCTTGCAAGGGGCAAAGGCAGTAAATCTTAAAAAGATCAAGGGCTGCAGAGCTCTCCCTCATCTACTCCTTTTAGCCTTCCAGGCTCTTGAGTCACGTCATATCTTCCCCCATTCTGCTCCAAACATGTGTCTAGCAGATCTTTCTGCTTTGGTGAGGGGAGGGAGTATGCGAATCGCATTTATAGCATTTAACCCTGGAATTCATAAAGGAAGGACTAATTCCATTAAGTAAACCAGGGGCCTCCTTAGCCTTTTGCATGTTGTCTTTTTTATTATTATTTTTACTCGCTCTCTCCTTAAGAGTTCTGTGCCCATACCCCATAATGACATGGCTGTTAAGTGTGGCTATTGAGACTTGACACAGCGCAGTCCCATTAGTAAGGGGCCATGGAGTTTTAAATGTTGTTTGCATTTGGCCTGCTTTGTAAGTCTGCTTTGTTGAGCTTTCTGGGTAACAGCAGATAGGCCAGGACCTGAACCTCCCCTGAACTGGAAGAGGAACTTTGCATCCAAGCTCCATGGCAGGTCCTTAACCCTATAACTCAGTGCAAGAAACCCTGAGCTCCCTCTCAGTACTGGATGGTGTTGGGCATATGGTTGGAGAGAGTACCTATGGGAGCAGGGTCCTGTCAGCCTTTGGAAGTGCCCACCTGAAGAACAGTGGTGCTGAGCCCTGTGTGGGGGAACAGGGCTGGCTGAGCTGTCTGAGCTCTGAAGTGCTCCCACAGTCTCCATAAAGCAAATATGGCATTTAGTGGCCTGAGGGTGGGCACTGGTGTGGGAGCCTGTGTGCTGGCAGCTGCAGTGCCAGCACCAGCCCTGCCACAGAGGCAACAGGTAAAACTTCAGACTAGTAGTGGTGGGTTTATTCCTGCAAGAAGGTTAAAACTCAACAACACAGGTAAAAAATGGCCTCAAAGAACATGATCTACAAGAAGTGGGAACCATTCTTTAGCCTTCTCTGAAGACCCTTTCCTTTGGATATCAAGTCATTAAAGGAGAGTTTGAGGGCTACTCTGTAATCTGCAATGCTGGCATGGTTTCCTGTGCCTGTAGCAGAGGCTAAAAAAGGACGTGAATATATTCATTTCCATTAAATGGACAGATGAACCATCAGAATATGGGTATGCTAAAAAAAGAGATGGAACCCTTGCTTATGAACAGACCTAAAAGAATTGAATACATGTGTACAGAGAGATTATTTTCCACTACCTAGAAGAGGAAAAATCTCTGGGGAAGTAGCTGATGCCAAATATTTTTTATGCTTCATGTGTCAGCAGGGTCTGGCAGAATCCCTTAAAAAACAGAGCATGCATTTTGTGCAAATTGAGAATCACAATTCTAGTAATTTAGATTGCTTCACCAAACTAGAGACATTTCTCCAAAAGTACAGCAGATGTTTGATGATGTACCAAGTTTTTGGCATTTACACAGATCAGATAATGTTAAGATCAGCAGAAAAAACCTAACATAATAACACAGTAAAAGTCTTCAGATCTGTCCTGAAAAAAACTTATCCTGCGTTAGACAGAAAAAAAGTTAATTTCTCACAACAGCTCTAAAATCCTGGCCAAGCTATACAGCAAAGTTACAGAGGAGCTAGACTGGGTGCAGAAGTGGTGGTCACCAGAATTTGTTGGAATGGGAGATGTGTGTGTAACCTGGCTGCATGACCTGAGAACACTGAGGTACTGCTGCATAAATACTGGGCAGTAGACTTTGACTACAAAGTTTAACAATTCCAGAGACTGAAGGACAAAGGGGATGCAGCCCTGAGGTATCTTAAAACTACATGAGACAGAGCCATCCCCAAAAAAGAACTTGCAGCTATATGGTCAAAACTGGAGATCACTAATTTCTGTGCAATTAATGCTAACAAAAGCTGAGTGTTAGTTCATTCTGATAAAAAAGAAGGATTTGGCACTAGTCTGTGAATGCAAAAAGTTTCCTGTCCTCTCTTCTTGTTGTTTATGAGAAGACTGTTTTAGAAAACTGACCATAACCCACTTACTGCAATTGCCAAAATGGCCTGGAAAAGCACTCTCTCCTCATGCATACATGGATTTATTTGCTTCAGTTATAAATTTATGATTTGCAGATTGGGAGGGATTTGGTATGTTCAAAACTAATCCCTTGAGCATTTGATGGAAAAGCAATGATGCAAAGTCCAAAGCTAGACTTTGTATGTGATGATTTGCTTAAAAATTTTTGCTTGTAATGGTGATAAGACCCAGTGGAAAGTATATGAGCCTGTCACTGGGAATATTCTCAGCCTTGTTGCTGACTTTGGGTGAAGTATGACTACTGTTATCCTGGCTAGGAAAAATTATATAACCTCTCTTGATGCTTATTTGTACTTCCCTGAGGTAATCTTACTACAAGGTAGTACAACTAAACAGGCAGCACAGTGTATCAAGCTAATCACTACTACACATCCTGTACCTGCTAAGGTATCTGACAATATAGCAGGAATAAGTGTAAAATGTCTTCACTAAAATAAGATATAGCTCTACCACTCTAGTTCTATTACTCTTAATCAATGAGAAGTAGAAGTAGTACCAAAAAAATTCATTACTGCTAAAAAGTATGTGGAATTAGGCGGTGATTTGATTTTAAGTCTATTACATCAATGTATCAAGGTGGAACATATGAAGTCAGTCAACCACTGACATTTTCCTTGACGAAAAACCCCAAAACAAAAATGCAGACTATTTTCATTCTTGTGATCTTTCAATTCCCTTTCAACTCTGACATCTTCAAGGGTGTCATCAAAATCATGGGGGCCTTGAACAAGAGTAAAGAAACAGCCAAGGCATGAAAAACTTAGAATAATATAACTTGCCTTCCTGACAACCGTAGCTATGATATTCCAGTCTCAGAGATGTAGGAACAACTGCCCAGTCCTCAGGATTCACCGAGCACAGTTTATGTGATGTTGGTTGAAACTACTTGCATATCAGCACAACTTGTCTGAATTTTGTCTTGGAAAATTCGATGACTTTAGGACTTCTGACACTAATGACTGCTCTGTCCAGTCTGAGAATCTGACTGAGGTGCTACAAAGTTATCATTTTATTATGAACAGCTGGATGAAACCAGATGCATAATAAAGCCAATTGTTTATAGCCAGCCTAAGCACTGGGTGTGCGATGGTGACAACTGCATTTCAGCCCAGAGGTGGCTGCATTTGAGCCATAGGGAAATAATCAATTTATAAACAAACCTCTCAAGCACTTTGAGATGAAAACACTACACAGAATCAATTTAATTCACTCTACTTATGTGACATACTCACGTTATTCATGTTATTGTTTTCCTGGTTATGCTATGCCAATCATACTGCAATTCCAAATGTCATCACCCTGTGCCAGAACAGTGTCTGACACATTCAAAAAAACTTGCAGAATAAAAAATCTTGTGTTGGAAATTGCTTTCCTGTGTGCAGCCTGCTCATACTCAGAAAGTGTTCACGTTCCATTTCTCTTTGTCTAGTTAACAAGAGGCATGCGTATGGTTTTGAATTCTGGGCATACTTTACCCACTAGTAGCCTGTCCTAGGCACTGTGCTCTGGAGTATAACAGTTGCCTTGCATTCAGGCTCCTGGCTGCCTTCATTTTCTGCTCTGATGCTCTCTTGACTCTCGAAAATCTCACCTAGTCATCAGAAACAACCAAACTATATCTCAACAGTTTCAAATTATGAGACAGTTTGGAGATTTTCTCTCACCTTTTGTTGAATCCTGCAAAAACAACTAAAAGGAGTATCTTACCTCAGCAATCAAAAGGACTGCACTGTCTTTGACCTTTGATCTGAATATCAGATGAGGTCTAAATTAGGCATCTGCTAACTACATGATGTAACTTCACCCAAAATGTAACTGTTGTTACACACCAGCCACATGGTCTCCTGTGCCTTTGTTTCTTCACCTGTAACATGCAGGCATAAACACTCAGCTGTGCAGCAAGGAGTATTTAGAGTTCATTGGCATTCCTGAAGACTAGAGATTCTTAGATAAACAGTGAAGTATGAACAGAAACCAGGTGATACTGTATCTTTCTCTTGGTGACACCTCTGTGCTGTTGGTATTGTGCTCTCACATTCCCGAGTTAAGCTTGCTTGAGGGATTTGATTTTACTCTGGCTTGTTTCATTCCTCAGAGAGGATGCCAGAATACATGGTAAAGCACAGCATATCCCACATGCCCAGAAACTTCACTCTCAAGGCCCCTGCTAACCACTTCCACCTGACCTTCCCCACCTTTTTTAATATACTC